GCAGTAACATCAAAACGGGCTTCTGGTGTCGCTTTTGTTACTGTCAATGCTTCAATTGATATAAAGTTTATTATGCTCGGCAATGTAACACGAGCCTTCTTTCTCATTATTCAAAATATTACGTTCATTAAAATGCAATGTAACATCTTGCCTACATTAAATCTCACCTTCTCTGCTAACTGCCTCCTGTCCCGCAGTCAATGTCTCCTGTAACTCTCTAACCTTTTGTACGTCATTCCTTTCCACTGCTGCCATTATATCCTGAACCAGGCTGAGAAAATAATTGTGAGGGCCGCCGATGTACGATTTGATGCCTAGGAATGCACCTGCTGCTAGCGGCTGAAATTTTTTCTTCTGGTCAGTGTCACAGCACAGCAAATAATTTATAGGTTAGCTATGAATCATAGCTAATCTGACCACAAGGCGAAACAAGAAGAAAAACGTCCATAGCCCAGGAAAAACCTGATGCTATCATTATATCACCTTAAGTCTATTGCGATTGATTGCTTTTGGATTATAACAGTACCTATTGTAATGTTTATAAGTTTCATAATGATGTCACAGAAGTTCTTTTTCCCAAAGACTAAATATTTTAACGCTTGTGATCAAATTTTTCCAACAATATTATATTAGAAATAGAAACAGAAACCATTAATTGCAACGCCACATTATAAAAAAGACACATAAAAAAGACTAATATAAATTAAACAGAGTATATAGAATAAGGGTATATTTCCACCGGCGAGGCGAGACGAAACGAGGCGAGACGATTTTTAAAACTTGTATGGTAAAATATCAATTCTCTCCGAGCGCATCTTCGGTGGAAATAATCGGGATTGACGAGGAGGGCAAGACGAGATTTGTAATATTTGTTGATGTAACATTGAACTGTATTGCTGCCTACATAGACTCTTTATTAACTCTGCAACGGAAACACGATTAACGATGTCTCGGAAGATATCGCGCGCGTGCACGCGATGACTATTTATGTCAATCGCGAGATTCTGGGATACAGTCGCGTGCATTGAAATGTAAACGTTCACACATTTCCGAAATTATCTAAATATTAGATATTTCAAAAATGTAACTTGTGCTGTGTTTAAAAATATGTAATCAAACACCATTTGAAAAAAAGGTATACTTTTATTTCAGAGAAAAATAAACAAACTACAGTCAATGAAAAATATTTAGTCTCATACATGTATCAATATCATTTTCGTAAATATTTATAAAATGCATATTATATATTTATAATTGCACACGATTAGGATTGTGATTTTGTCATAATTATGTAACCACTTCTAAAAAATTGCATCGTTTTAAAAAATATGTATACACAATATAGTTGCAATATAATGTAAACATAACAGCGCCAGTTGTAAACTTTTTATGTGTATTTTGCTTGTTCGTAATATTTGCCCGAGGATAAAAGATCGTATACAGGCTGTATATTTGAAAGAGAGACATGTTAATACATGTCATAGTAAATCATGTTACAACTTAATATAGCCTAAAATAAAATTAGGATATGGGATAGAACAAAAATAAATCAACAATTTTGTTTTGGAGTGTACATAGAAATAAACTGATTCACGTTTACGCTTAATTTCGAGTGCAATGGGAATACTACCAAGCGAGTGCCGAGTGAGACAACAACAATAACAATGATTTCACATCTCTCTTCCTACTAAAAGCACCTCTTTTCTCTAAAAAATAAAAACTAAGTTACTCGCCTACGTATATTTATGTTTTGATGAAAAAAGCTGTTATCGAAAGGATTACGTTTTAGCTTATGCTAATTATTTTTTACTTCTGAACTATGTCGAAATGTTTTACGTACTTAAAAAGATAAGTTCATAATTTAGTAACTAATTATCATTTAATAAGAATTGAGGTTTTTGGCGCAGTTAAAAATTTTAATCAAATTATTTAAAATGATTGATTTTTTAGTTATTTACAGTTACGTGGTACGGAGCAAGCTTTCAAAATGTCCACTTTTTTCCACAATGCATAGTCTAGCACGTTGTAGTAAATTTTATTTTAAATTGTTCAACACAAAACACATTTTGTCTTACAGTATAAAATGCTGAGACAATCCTCTCATGCAACACTTCGACACTGTTCACCTCCTCCGCTTAAAACTCCGATTTGGGAACATTTCAATAGCTCGTCTCACACTATCACCACTTATTGCGTAAAGTCGCACCGTCTCTGTCAATTCGACGTTAGAATAAATATAAGACCAAGGTCGCGCGTGCACTGTCTGTATGCGCCCGCGCCCCCACCCCAGACCTGTGCTTTGATTTTCGCCGCCATGCCGCAGTTCGTCGTTGCGTCGGAGCAATAATAGTGATGTGCATAGATTTCGATAACTAATGTTATTCACAAGTAGTAGTCGATAAAAAATTTTTGTAAAGTTTAAGTATGAACTTAAACTAATGATAGTTTATTATTTCTTTGGGTTCAGAATCAGGAATGTAACGCTCTCTATAAGTATGTACCACTTTCAAATATACAGCCTGTATAAAAAGGTTATTTTCGAAAAAAATCTTTTTATTTTTATTTATTTTATCTTGGAGGGTACAAACAGCTTATACTACAACAGGATTATTTCTTCTTACAGCATCTTCATCTGATTCTTCTTCCGTTAACATATTTCATAATAAGAATTCGCGGGACATGGTACTTTAGCCGCGTGTTTACCGCTAGATGAATTGAACATTACTGTGACTTCACTATCCGTAACTATAGCGCGAGCTCGCGATGGCAAATTTTGGTGGAAATAGGTCGACGAGATTTCAATTCTCTCATCGCCTCGCCTCGTCTCTCCTCGCCGTTGGAAAAGCACTTTACACAAAAACAGCGTAACAACATTTAAACAACAAGTTACGTAATACTATACTGACATGTATGCGGCTATGGCGTATGCAAAAGGTCCCATTCAGTTAAAGTCACAACCAACACTAGGCTATGACGCTGGTTTTCAACGAGCCCTAGCCGAGTGAGTGACAGACGTATGCGTCGAAACAGAAAATAAAATAAACTACGTAAATACTTATGTCTTATGTATATTTCGTATATCGTATTTGTACTTAATTTGTCGTACTTACAATACTGGAACCCAAAAAGATTTCTTGACCAGGCTTCAAAATCCTTAACACCTCATATGCCTCGCCCAATTCACTTGCCGAGTACTTTAGGCCTTTGAAGTTAGGGATTCGCTCTGTAGCTGTCTTCACGAAATTCGGCATGTTCACTGTAAATGAGAACTTATTAGCTGACAAACACTAATGAATTAATTGTCGATTTTATCCAGTCTGAAGCAGTCCACTTTTCTATTTTTGGGAAGGTTAGCTCTCGAAATAAATCGTACTCTTGTTGGTATGGTCTTATTGTTCGGATTTTATTTTTTGTTTCTTTCTTTTTTTTTCACAAAAGTCGGGGAGTATAATATTAGTAAATAAATATGGTTGTTTACAAAAATAACAGAAAATGACAAGAATAAAATAGGCTTCATTGGAGTCACTCAACTTGTCGACCAATTTCCTTCGTAGAATCTTTAAGCCTTAAAAGTTGTTATTTCGCAGATGTGGCCTTACTTCACCAATGGAATGAATTTCATTACCAACTCTAGAACAATTTTAGTACACACGTAATATTGAAGGAGAACTATGATTTTTAATATTATTAGGTACTATTATTATAAAGGTTCTTGATAAATCGCTGGTTTTCAAGAATAGTGGCCTAAACCAAAATAGTACATTTTTTATCTTATCACACAGCTGTACTCAGAATTAGCTAAATTTTATTGCGAAAAAGACACAATGGTTTTTATTGTTTTTAAACAACCATGTGACAACATCGCCCTGTATGTGATACACTGCAGTAGTTTTGAAACCATTTCCTGACGAATAAGGTGATTTTGAGATAAGACGCTATTCTAGAAGGGCATCGAAATATCCTTATTCTAACTAGACTCAATGGTAATCAAAAAGACGACGACTTGTAAATCAAGCTGCTGCTCCTGTATTAACAACCGTTGTGTTCAAAATTTGCATAACGACAAAAATATTTACTTATAGATCATAGTTTCCCAAAAGCGGTCCATACCAGGTAGGGCCTCGGAAGCGAATGGGGGACTTTGATACTGTCCAGCGGGAGCTACCACATTTGAAGAAAAAACTGAATTATCTATATAAACCCACTACATTTATATATTTTGTTCCTTGTGATTTTTGCGTTAAGTTAATATAAAAAAATACATGTTTTCAATTATTATTTGAGGTGGACGTTGAACCAAAAAGTTCAAAAACCTATGCTATAGATACTCACTATTTACATTAGATTTCTTAGGGTAATGATAATACAGAATTGGCAAATTATCTGCCTCATTCGCCACCAACGCTACGTAGTCCACCAGCTCGTCTACTGTATTCGGTCGGAAATATAACTCTGGTAATGTTAGGATGGTCGATACTCCCGCTGAAGCGTAGTAACTCGTCTGTATAAAAGAGAATTGCAAATATTATAGTTCATAGTTCGCTTTGAATAAGACCTGTGAGTTCTTGTGATTATGTCAATTATGCTCGTCGAATAAAGTAGTGATCGCCTAATTGCGAGAACGCTTGCCTCCCATAGGGTATACTCCCGAATAAGTACAAATATCAACAAGGGATCTGCTCCACCAAGTCTTTTCGATTCAAATAAAGATCAGTTAATGTACCTGTCACTTGCGTTATGAAAGAAAACATAGTGATAAAACCACTATGTCACAAAAGATACATTGGACACTTCAAAAACATGTAAAGCTCTCATCTTGCATTTCGTCTTAGGGTGGTCCAAAATTATGGTACCAAACTCTCTTCTTAGGGAAATACATTCAAAAAGCTTGATGGCGTCTGCTCTGAATTTAAATACACATTCTTTCAGAGTAATGTGGAGGTGGATCGACAGGTGAAGTACAACATTAGGTCCGGGTTAATGAAATGGCGACAGATTACGAGAATAACCTACGATTTTAAACTAAAAGAGTAGCCAGTCATCATTAGACTTGTCATTTTGTAAGCATCGGAACATTTGTTTAAAACTGTATGCTACTGAGATACACAAATGCTAAAATAGATATGTGGAGTGACCAGAATGTATAATATGGATATAATTTTTTTTGTAGCAGTAGAGCTCCTTGTGAAAGAGTTCGTCCAGGTAAGTCCTGTCACGTTACCTATTCTTGCCAAGCCAAGCAGTAATGTCAGCATTACTGTGTTCCGGTTTTGAAGGTTAAGGATGCTGGTGAAATCACAGGCACATGGGACTTGTCAAGTTTATGTCTCAGGGTGACGGGCGCAGTGGCACAGCCTCTCAGATCGTAGGGATTTAAAGCTCTGAGTGGCACTGCAACTGTTATGGACGGGCGAGTGGCTTATCAACAGGCGCATGACTTGTTTGTCCCGCACTTGATATTATAAAAAAACATATAACTGGAAGTATGAAATAAAGCGTCAGAGAAGTTAAAAAGTTGCACAGACTATGTTTGAATATGGTTATGGATGACAATAGTATATAACAAGATCAAAGAAAACATGTGTGTATTGTGTAAAAGGTGATAAACGGATAGTAAGTGAGCTTTAACAAGATGACGGCTGATACAGACAAATGGAAGATATAAATCCTAATTAATTAGATAAGATGACTTCAAAAAAAAACTGACCATGTTCAAGACATCGGGCAATGGAGCTCCCCCAACCTGGGCCATGATTTTCAAACCATGTTCTCTTCCAGCCTTTAGCCAAGCATCTATCAGACTTTTACGATCTGCCACCGTCAGGCTCGTATGTTCGCCGGATGTTCCACCAACTAAACAGGAGATCAGTATAATTTGTAACCAGGTGCAAAGGTAAATTTTTAATTAATCCATTACTTCTGAATACTGATTTTCTTGGAATTTGACATACAAAAATTTTAATTCTCATTGATATAATAAGGGAATTAAAAATAAATGATGACAGAATTTATTGAAATTTCAAATGGTGACAGAGAGAGATAATCGTAGATATCCTTATCTATTCTACAAATAACAGATTCGTGGTAATAATTAAAAAGAGCCCGGTATAGATCACATCCATTATACGTCTAAAACATCTATAATTAGACGAAATCCGTGATCGAGTGGCTTGCATACCTCTCCGACCGGGATAGTGTAGAAAATTAACGTCAATATAGTCTCGGGTCTGGATGTTTGTGGTACCGTCGTTGTTTTCGATTTCCTTAGCACAAATACTTTAGTTAATTTGGGGTCAGATCAATGTATGTGATGCTGTTTATTATTTATTATTTGATTATTAAACAATTTTAATATCATCTGTGTTTCTACAAATAAATAAGTTATGAATTATAAACATTTACAGTTCTTTAAAAAGTCTTGAGAACTCGTATCGCTACTAGCTGTTGCGCATGAACTTATCAAACTGAGTTTAAATGATGACCTCAATGATAGAAACTGTCTCTCCGAATTGGTCTAAGGATCCGGAAATAAATTCATTTCTTTGGTACAGACGGAAGCATAGCCTACACATTGACGGATTTTATTCCGTTGCTCTCTGGAGGCGATATTGGCACAAAAATATATTTATTTTTAACCGACTTCAAAAAAAATTTTTATTAATGTTACGCGATAACTCCGGTATTTGTGAACCGATTTTCATGATTCTTTTTTGTTGGAAAGAGGGTACCTCCACAGTGGTCTCATTTCATTTTGAAGAAAATCATCCTCGAACGCATGAACATTCACTTTTATAAATAGCGCCTAAATTTTACTTAAGGAGCAATTATTTTAATGGTTGGTTTTACTATTATCCAATTCAAGGCGTTTTTCTCTCTCAATATACTTTGAGGTGTGAGAACCGATTTTTATTATCTCCAGTGTCAAGTCCTGTATAGTGGCGAACTAGGGGATATTTCAATAAAACTTGGCAAATAGATGTAATTCCACGTACTTTTGAGGTCGGTTTTTTTAGTACTCTGTACTGAGATTATATTTTATTAATTTGAAATAACAACAGCCATATTTAATACAAT